GGTATGAAATTAATTTTTCGTGTTTTATAAACCAAAATATTTCATGATTTTGAAATAAGGAAATTGTAGTGTAAGTAGAAAAGTAAAAACCAAAAAATAAGAAGCAAAAAATCGAAATAAGGGAAAATAATGATAAGTAAAACAGGTATAAATTTCGACAAAATATATTAATATCCCGAAAAACAAAAGAAAAAAATACTGTTATAACGTGTCGGACTTTATGGCCCAAGTTTATATATACAAAAATGTTGAAGATATCACCAACAATTATGAACAAGTTGCAAAATATTTGAGTACTGGAGAACCACTTGAAAGTCTCCTGACAGAATTTGATAAAATGGCATTGTGATTGGCCAAAATGGTGTATATTTTATCAAAAGTACACAAAATGATTGTAAAGTGGAAGAATCGTGTCAAAACGCAAGTGATATGGCAGAGGAAGAACCAGAAATAGTTCAAAGAATTCTCTTTAATATGAACAATGAAAACATCAAGAAAATATTTTTCAAAGCAAAAGAAGTTATTTGAATATTGTTTACTCTCGTTTTTTTCATTGCAAGAAGATGACAGTCTTTTGTTTGAATATGTTGAACGCCTTGAATTATTTGAAAGTTATATTGATATTTTACTGAATTAAGTTGAAAGTGGTGTTTGGGACGAATTCAAAGAAGCCAAGGATTACATTGAAACTGGCGACTTGTTTCTTACAAAAGTTTTAAAAAGACTACAAGTTCAAATACACCCGCGTTTTAACGAAATTTCGCATTCAGCATATATTATAAGAGCAAAACATTGTGTTAATTGGCACTGTGGTGAAATTGACGAAAGTGTATTTAGAAAAAATCACAATTATGATTATTTTAAAGAACTGCTTCAATGGTTTTATTCGCCAAATTAAATATTGACAACACAAATTGTTCCAAGTTACATTACAACAGCAATAAAAACTTTCGATTATCAACTTGAACATGAAATATGTGTGTTGGCAGAAATATTATGGAGAAAAACACCAAAAGAAAAAAATTTATTCTAAAAAAATGCCAAAATGTACTTTTCACCAGAAACTTTTAAAAATCACAAAGAGTAAAAGTCGACTTACACTCTTGGATATTTATGATGAATTGGAAGGACATGGATAACCCAATTTACTTGGTGTTGTACACATCATCGTTTGTGTATTTCCAACATCAGTTGGAATTGAACATTTTTTCTCAAAACTTCGTGAAATGCGCTCTCGAAACATGAAGCTTGAAATTGCATTTGAACGTCTGTTTTTTTTTGTTTAAAGAACAACAAATGTTTTTTTTTGGAATTTAAGTGAATTTAAACGAGTTTTTAATTATTTTTGTATCATAATTGATAATTTTAAATTACCATATTTAATATATCGATACATATTGTTTAAATCTTTTTTTTGTATTTTAGTATTTTTTATTTGCTGACATAAATTTAACAAAACCCCCACCCATCGCCTCAAATGGGCAGAAGGGAGAGATCATCATCGAGGTTAACTCAAGATTAGCATTGATCACTCTCCAACTTAATACATTTAATAAATTATATGAATCAAGTTGAAAACAATCAAGTATTATGGGTAATAATATGTTATTATAGTATATTATACTAAAAATTTTCTTACAAATATGTCTAAAACCTTAACAATAATTGAATTATATAAAATTTAACTTATGTGTCTTTTTATGAACAGCCTTTAAATTATCCATGTCTCTTTGATTAATTTTGATATTATTCATTATTAAAACCTTTTTCTTTAAAACATAAGTTGTGAATTTAAAATTACAGATAAAAAGGAAGAAGTCTAAACTTTTTAATAATGTTATTGTATTGACAAGACTTTATTTACTATTGATAACGTGATAAACAAGAGTAACTTCTTGTTGATTGTTCAAAAAGTTATATTATAAACTGAATAATTACACCGAGTTAAAATACAAAGTATATTAAAAAGTACAATAGCAATTAAATTTTATCATTCTATATGTTATTTAGATCAATTTCTTTTTTTTTCGAATATTTTAATAAAAGATGATTTTGTATTCTTATTTACTAAAATAATATTAACATGTTATTAAAAAATAAATTATAAAAAGTTCAATTCTTGTTGTTTTTGTTTAATTATTGTCATTATTTATGATTTTTAAATCAAAATTCAATTAGTAAAATCGAAAATCAGTTTTTAATTCATTTTTTTGACCATTGAAAATTCAAATTTTTTCATTACTTTCCAAATATTTTTCTTTTAAAAAATTGTATATTTTCTTTTTTGACCATTTTTTTGGAAAAAAGTATTGCCACATAGGCTCGTGC